GCCCTGGACTATCGACCTGTCAAGCTGGCTAAGGATACATCCACGATCCTACGTAGAACTCCTCAAGCCCTAACATCGCGACAACGAATCTCCAATCTTGATGCAACGCAGGGGTATACGATTGTGGCTTTAGAGCTACGGCTACAACACGCGGGTCGAAGGCTAAATCCCTTGGCGTCATCATCTCGGCATCGTCCTCAAAATGACGAGAATAATCGAGAAGTCCCGAACCAGAGCGAAGTCGCTTGGTAGGAGGTTCCACACCATCAACGGAAGCAACTGCAGTAGGAGAAAGACATTGCAGAGTCTGCTCCAATCGATGGATCCGATTCCCCAGGCAAGTTTCCATGACGCCATGTGGAATCGCAAACTTCGCGAACGATTTGTCAGTTATCGTTCCCGCGTTGTCGTGTTGACGGCGCACGATCAGTCACCTTGATCAGCCGCTAGATCATCAGCGAGAGAAGCATATTTACCTTTGAGAAACACAATTTAAAGGCGGGCGAAGACAGTGGTCAAGCTACAGAAGTAGCAGAGTTGACGCCCGCTCCCGGCACCGCTCTTTCTCTTCTAAATCAACGAGGAGATCGATACTACCACGTCGAGAATGTGGTGACGGAGAGAAACGTCTGAGGTCGGAAGGGCACTTGGTGAATTGGCTAGGATATCCAGCGAGCGAGAACACAAGGGATTTTCGTACTCGTATTCTTCGCGATTATCCTAGTATTGTTCGCGCGTTCGATGCGGATCCGAAGACGGACTCCGCTTAGGGAAGCTGTCTCTCCCTTCTTCTCCCTCTGTTTCTCTCGTCGTAAAGCCGACTGATGGCTGAACGTACTTCGCGAGCATCATCGATATCGGAGTAAGCCCGATCTGCGCTGCTAAATGGACGAAAGCGCATATATTGTACTTCATAAGTCTAAAATGCTAGGAAGTGCATATCTTGTACCTTCATAAGTCTGTAGTGGTATTCACAGTTGGATATCCGCACGTTTGGTCGCATGAACCCATGCCCAGAATCGATTGTTGGTAGTCTGGGTGAAATTCAAATTGGATTGCTGGATATAAGTTATATTTTTGAGGCTTCGTGGTTCACCTTCAGCACGAGCAATTGTTTCGATGGCGCGAAAATGCGAGATTCGATTCATCAGTCGAGCACTCATTCGAATGAAGAGTTTGTCGAACACGTCGGTCGTGAAAGTCATCATGACGATCAAGCTCACAATCGCGCAAAGTCGCTGGATTACGTGAAATTGGAGCATTATCCAACTTCGATGGCAAAGATATCATGTGGAACAAGTTTCTGGGTTGTCACCCCAGAGAAAGTTATACAGTTCGTGACTTAAAGTGTGGAGAAGATTTTGAAGGAGAACTGAGGAAAATTTGAAAAATTTAGTAAACTCACTTGTGAGTGGGGATGGTGCAATGGGCCAGGTCCCATTACATAGGTTGTGGGGACCACAAATTTCTTGAGTCTAACATTAAGTGTATGGTCGTATATCCCCATAAGTTCTGTTGTGCCAAATACTGGAGGCACTTATCAGGTTAGGGAGGCTGAAAGCCAATTGGCTTTAAGAAACACTGTCACTTCAGCTTTCTTCCTCTTTACGTGAGTCACCGGCTCGCTGGAAGTGAGCAACACGCGTATGACATTTGACCTAGGCCTTCCTCTGTAAGTGTGTATACACGGACGGACAATCTCCGTTACATTCACTTTTGTTGCCCACTAAGGATTTGACTACTGATCGAGGCAGGAAAACTCAAAGAAAATTTCAAGCTTATCGTTGTTGCAATGCAACCAATACCAAGTCGGGTTTTGTGGCAATGAACGGGAAATCCAACGCGTCAACTTGCATATCTGGGCGGCAATGCTCTTCAAATCAGAAGAAGGAGTGGTTAGATATTGCTGTGCATGATTGATGGATTGAAAAAACTATTATTTTGCCGCCGAACAGGCCGGAGGATTAACTCTTATTATTGTATCTAGACAATCTCAACCTTTCGAGAAAACTGAGAACGTTATATTTTTCTCCTCTAGTTACATCTTGGTAACAACCAAATGACATAATAATTATTAATTTAGTGAAGAAGCGTCACAGAACTATGCCGATAAAAGACATTCTTTCCTATCAAATATGATCAAACAGATGATCGCAAAATTCGTTTATAAGCAGATGATGTCGAATTGAGACGAGGCGCAGCGGAAGTGGAATTGGGAAGTCCAGCGCACTTGCTTCATGCGCCTAAGTTATGGCGTGCTATCTTGATAGAAGCGTTGAACAATTGATATGTAAAAGCAGATATAATTTTGTCCGATAGGACAGACATTTCATGAAGGTGGAAATAAAGACATCAAACTTGGTCTCGTTTTTGAAAAAATGCACCATCGCTCAACAATAAATTGATTCAAATCTCATCTTTAAGAACAGTTCGTGATGTTTCGGGTTTTGATGAGCTTAATTCTGGAGTGTTACAGCTTGCTGTTATTGGGGATATTGAAAATCCATTTGATAACGAGGAGAGTAAAGTCAAACCAGGAAACTATGAAGTGCTGACGGAGATCTCAGTTGATTTTGTCGAAAAATTTGTGAAAAAATCAATCCACGATATTCCCTTGCAAATGTTGAGCTCAATTCAAGTATTAGCAATCAACCAGTATCACGATTCTTAGATCAGGGCAAGATTTATGAAATGCCTAATAACTTACTATTCGCAAAGGATATATCTCAACATAGCAAGCAGCTTTAGTGAGTTCAAGAGCGAGAATCGCTGGTAAGCAAATGCCTCTGCACGATTTCAAATATTCAATAAAGTTCCAAATATGTTGATCTGGATTTTTTCATTTGTAATGCAGACTCATCCGCGATACGGATTTAAAAATGCGGACGCTAGGGAATGCTTACTCTTATCGGTGTACATCTTGCGCTTGTAGTAAACACAATACGGTACAATTATACCGAGTTCACTCTACAATTAGTGTAGTTATGAGTATACATGTATTGAATTATCGGTACCAACGAAGATGACGGAACTCCGACGAGGAGGGGTAGTGGGCTGCTCAGAAAGTCAGGTAGCAAATATACTAATATATGTCTCACAAGAATTAATTGTAACATTATGTGACCTTAAAATCGCAGAGGAAACTAGCAGTGTTAGTTAACTGAGTATTCCTCTTTTTAGCTCCTTGTTCCTCTTTGGCTCTGCGATTCTTTTCCGCTATATAAGACGGTTACCTTTGTGAGGAACACACGTTGATCATCATGTTAACTCGGAACAAGTAATTACGCTTCATAAGTCTAGCAGTCATGCTTCCGAGGGTTAGTGGGAATGGTTGTTAAGGTCCTAAAGTGGAATCGCTCACCTGGAGGTGTTTATCAGCTATATTGACTTGTTGATTGGACACCTTCATGAACTATGCATACAGGTGTCGATGGGATCACAACAGGCTCCTGTTGTGGGGCAACGTTTGCTTGATTCCGGAACTTGAGGGCAAAAAAGGAAAATCCTTTTTGTGTAAGAGAAGTATTGTGGGTAAGAGAGGTTGAGTCGGCTACAAACTGACTTTGCTTCAAACAAAGCGCCCATCGCGTCGGCGGCATTCAATCAAGGAGGCTACACGCGAGGATTGGCTTTTGTGTACGTTTCGTGTGTTGATGAGGCATACGACTAACTAAGTGAAATCTAGTAAAACTTTATATAGTTTGTTCTAATCCAGAAAATATTCATCATCAATATATGAGAAAAATCGGACGGTGATGGTAACTTGAAAACTTACGGATCAGCTCCTTCTAAGAGCGCACGAACTTAACCTGCGTGAATCTATAAAGGCGGCCTCTGAATGTTAAAGCTTCCTGTGCTAAGTGCACGGCAACCCCGTTGCACCAAGGGCATCTAAGGGTGCGGCGAGATCTCCGCTCACTGACACGATTCACACTTACGCACGTAATATCTTTCCCATATGTACATTTTAATTCACCAGTAAATAGTGCTCACAAAGTCGTGCATATTCCTTGGCCGCGATGCCTTTCAATGACAAAAACTGTTCATGATGTCCTCGTCCTGGAATACTACCAAATGTGTGTTTCGACCAGTCTCGCGCTTCAAAAAATATGTTGCGGTGTAAATTTGCTTGCTTTTGCTGGATAAATTACTACTGGAGGCAAGACGATTTTTAGCTTATCAAACTCCGAATAGCGGATCATACCATGCCTGGATCTTACGCCCTGCGAAGAGCATCTTCTTTGCGTGATGGTACCATCTTGACATGAGATGACGCATCAAGCGTGCAGCGCGACAGCTTCGTCCGTCACCACATCATCCCAATCAAATTTACTCTTTATCGAAGGAATATATAACAAAGGAGAATAATAATCTAATAAGAGGTTTGGTGACGACGTCGCTGTGGGCGAAATGTGTAGCTTGTATATACTACAAATGGCTTGAGCTCGTGCAACGTACCCTTGATTTGACAAACGCATACTTCGCTGAAAGCTGAACCTTGATTCGAACTGGGTAATTATTTTTTGCAGCTTTTAGCTAGCCGTATTCAGATGCAGTGACACATTTATGTTCATCGACATCTGCTTGGAGCAAAGGCATAAGCTATGGCAAAGGCTGATTCAGGTGTGGAAGAGCCAAAATCTTTCACAACCATGAAGGCCACCTCTTCTTCTGCGTGACAAACGTAATTGCACGACGCTTGAATCCCATCCGGACTACCACAGCTTAACCAAGAGATAATAATATTGATAACCAAGAACCCTAAGCTGTGCGCGGAACTCAACCTCAATGAGTTTCAAAAGAGAACAGCTTTTTGTCTGTAGAATATCCTGCTCCCTTCAGGACAAAAATATCACCACAATTGGTTTATTGATCAGTTTGCATAATAACTCGTCTTTTTTGCATCTCTCAACCGAGAAAGAAGGGGGCTTCTAGGGATATTTAAGCTAACACAGAGGATAAAACTATGAGTACCACGGAAGCTGCGAGATCAGCTGTGATCAATCAACTTTGATGACATAGATCGCCCACGGAGCCCCCACCCTCACAGCAACCGGATTTTGCGGCAGACCCAAACGAGATTCTGCTGCCAAGGCAGCTATTACTGTTCTTTACTACTAAAAAGTCTGCTATATTTCTTCTCCCTCGACGGACGGACAAGAAGCTTCACTGCACACGATATGCGCTGTTAGCCCACGTGTCAATAGTTTCCCTTGATTTGTTTAGGAGTTCCGTCATCATAACCAAACAGATATTCCGGAACTGTTCAACATGCAAAATTTCACCGAGTGTAATGTAATAGTTAAGTACAATAACCCTGCTTTGAAATCAATACTGTTGCATCGTATGGCGTAAAGCTAAGTCCACATGATAACAGAATTCGTCCACCCACCATGTTGTAGATCACATTTGGAACCACGCACCTTTTTGTCTTTTTAAAGTACTGTGCCTGGAAATTGTAATCCACGCTCTTCACTTTACCATATCTGCTCTCCTTAATGCACTTGCACCGTCCGCAACCGTGCGCCAAATTTTAAAAAATAACGAACTCCCGTCAAATGCGCCGTCTTCGCGACCGAGCGCTTTCATGAAGCGCTCGGTGGATATGCCGAGAAGATCTTCGATGAGTTAGGCTCCCAGTGGCTCTTCGAATCCAGACCAATCATCTCCGCCCTCATCAATGTTTCCACGAAATAGCTAGTCCCCAGGAAGAAGGCATCGATTGAATAAGCTTTCCCACTGCATAAGGTTCAAATTTCGTGCTCTTTCAACCGGCAAAATGTCTCGATATCCCGCCGTGGGGTCCACGACGGTGTCCAGCACATTACTCACGAAATGACTCTGGCTCAATCGCCAGCTTGCTCAACTTAGAGCGCAAGAGTCACTCGAATTCCTGCCCAAATTATTTGTCGCGATTTATGATTTAAGCCGTCCCAAGTTGCTCGTCGAGCTGATGCGGAGATCTTCCACGCCTCTGTGTTTCGGGCCTTCTGCTCACGCCCAAAGTTAAACTAGCGCAAGAAAGCCTCTTCAGTTGTGCAATAGCTTATCACTTCAAGGTGCACCATCTGCGCTCGGAGCAACAGCGATTGTGAATCCTGTACCCTCCATGAGCGATATATCTTGGGTGCTCAATCTTGCTAAATTGCAGCTGAGTATATGTCTCAGGTAGCAAACTTGGTGAGGTATCACCGTCTTATGACTTTCGATCCAGCTTCAACGATGTAGACGTTCGTCTGGAGCATCATCAGATGCGTGGCTTTGCAAAATTAAAAGCACACTTCGTTGCGACGACACATCTTCTCAAGCTCCCGCAATTTACAGCCCCCTCGTCTTTATGAGATAGACAGCTCTAACATCTCCCAAACACGGGTACTTTTTATCGCAAGTTTGGTCGCATCCCACTAGTAGACAGCGGCTATGAAGGACGACCCTGCATCATCTGCAAGGCCGATCCCGCCGAGGGTGAGGGGTGACGTAAGCGTCCACAACATCAGGTCAGTCTGATTGAAGTGGACCACAAACCCCGTCATTTTTCTGAGTAAGGTAACCCTTGAATGCACCAAGTATTTGTAACATTTCTGGTAAACCTGCCAGCCCACCAACCCAGAAGAAGGCTACCACTGCAGTGCTGGTGGAGGGCGGTCCTCTCGCGGCTGACTCTCACAATCTCTGTGCTACGCCAGCTGTGAGATGAGCCAGAGCTTAGATCCTCTCTCTGACCATCGTCACCGCACTGTTTGCTTTGAAATATCCTACGTAGTTAAGAGCTGCGCATTTTGATTGGGGCGGACTGTATCGCGGCTAATGAAAATGCTTTGCATGCTGCAGAGCTCTTCACTTCCTACTAGTTCGAAAGGTCAGAATCACGATATAGCTTCAGTAAATCAGGTAGGATATGTTTGCAACTCGTCGGAGAACTCAGAGAAAGTTAAATTTCTTCTTTGCTTCGACCGTGAATGGTCCAAAATAGCACCGCCGCAACTTGGTCTCATATTCCACAGAGACTGCATACGTAAGTAAATTTAACGCAATCTATCAGATCTTTAGCCCCATAATATATTCGTGTGAGTCTCATGCTTCTGGCATCGGCATGTATCCTTGATTTGTACAGGCTCTCAGTAATAGCTCGCGCTCCTGCGCATTCTAAATATGTCGTTTGCGTAGCCATTGTATCGAGTAGTCAGTCGCGCTCAATAGCAATATTTTGGCATACATTGTCCAAGGTGCTCGCCAGATTTGAGCTGACTACCCGCAATTATATTGTCAGAGGAATCTTGAGTACTGGGCTGTGTTGGGTATCCCCCTGAGCAATTGCGCAGAGAGGCCGCGGTTTGGGATCGAGTTGCTCCCTCCCACTTGTTAGGCTTGCGTCAATTATCACATCACAGCTTTTTACTTTCTTTTCCATAAATGGTTATATAGACCCTTGGGTACCTATGACACCGCCACGAAGCGGCTCTCGCCTTTGCGGTAGAGGGGCTTTTAATAAAATTTGGATGGATGAAATCATTCCGGTTCCACTACGTCGCGAAATCAGTGATTTTTATCTCGATAAGAATAATTGTCGAGTCATATTGACGAGGAACAAATTGGCCATATTCTGTCAAATCAGCTGACAAAAGCGAGGTGGGCCAACTTGATCAGATTTTCTACAAAGAATACAATACCGATATCATCGGACGGGTTATACGGAGGCGTACTAAATAGTCCGTGCCCATGAACTGTCTACACTCTGCCATATCCGCCAGGCTGGTCAAAGCTGCTACCGCATGTGGCGACGACAGCTGAGCTCAATCATTGCTTTCCAAAGCTTTCAGCGGCGCAAACGCACGTTGAATCTCATATACACGATGCACGTATCGCCGCACCAACTGGCGGTATCACGCTATTTTCCATAGTTGGGACGAAGCAAGAGCGCATCCGCCACCTCATTACGTCGATCCGGCTTTTACCCCATCTACATTACGATTGACATAGAGTCAAGCAGGAACAATCTAAACTTGACGAGAGCATACTACATTGCAAGTTGCACCTTGCCATGAACAAAGTCGTTCTTCTTGGCTGCTTTAAGCTAGCAAGCATTAAACGCGATCACGCGTTCCTGCAGATTTAGATCTGTTTGCAGCAGGGTGCAGCCTATGACAAAGGCCACAACACCGTAGAAGACGTGGAATATCTCATCTGGATTCAGTACTTTCAGAATTCGGGTACGAATCAAACCTATTCTAGCCATGAAGGCGTATTTAACATGGTGAGGGGTTGTATAGCACTTTACTTGTGAAGGTTTTTTACGTTGGCAAACAGCTTATTTAATCGCATAATGCCGCGAGGCTGTCGTATCACTTAGCTTAGAGGAAGCAAAGCTAAGATCACCAACCTTACGTTCTTTCCAAGAACCAGTACGAGTGTAGCGGATCGCAATCCGCTACCTCC